GGGAGGGATGGGGTGGCTGGGTGATGGGCATTGGGGAGGGTAAATACTACGGTGAGCACTGGGAATTGTGTAAGGCTGATGAATCACAGACCTGTACCCCTGAAACAAATAATACATTGTATATTAATTAAAAAAATAAACATTTCTCTAGATCTGATTTGTTCTATTTCTAACTCTGATTATTTTTGTGGTAATTTATCTTTGTAGGTCGGCAGGTTGCACACAGTGGAGCTAAAGCAAGTGTAGTTGATGGGACTCCCTTAGTTGCAGCGCCCTCTTTAAATGCCACAACTGTAGTTACAACAGTTTATCAGGAGCCCATTATGAGCCAGGGAGCAGCCTTGAGTGGTGAGCCTACCGCTTTGACCAAGGAAGAAGAAAAGAAACAGCCAGATGAGGAACCCATGGACATGGTAGTGGAAAAACAAGAAGAAACAGACCCCAAGAATGACAATCAAATACTAACTGAAATTGTTGAAGCTAAAATGGCTGAGGAATTGAAACCAATGGACACAGATAAAGAGAGCATAGCTGAATCAAAATCCCCAGAAATGTCAATGCAGGAAGATTGCATTAGTGATATTGCCCCTATGCAGACTGATGAACAGACAAACAAGGAGCAGTTTGTGCCAGGTCCAAATGAAAAGCCTTTGTACACTGTGGAACCAGTGACTTTGGAGGATTTGCAGTTGCTTGCTGACCTATTCTATCTTCCTTATGAGCATGGACCCAAAGGAGCACAGATGTTAAGGGAGTTCCAGTGGCTTCGAGCAAATAGCAGTGTTGTCAGTGTCAATTGCAAAGGAAAAGACTCTGAAAAAGTGAGTATGCTTAATTTATCCTCTTCTCTATCCTGGGTGGGTCCCCATGCTGATGATATGGAGGAAGCCTTTAATGAGTATAACTCTGAAAATTGACCACATCTTAGAATATGCTCTGTAAAGTGGATGTGGACTCTGCTGATTCTGGTGCATAGAGTTCCATAGTTTGACCTTGGAGTGAGGAATGAAGGAAACTCATCACAGTTGATTATTTTAGAAATGTTTGTCAGTTTGGGGAGACACAGACTTACTGCGTATCTGAAGAGTTTAAGCCCAGTGATCCTTTAATGTTTAGGATATGTTGCAGGTACCTGATAATACAAACAGTTTATAATTATGTTTTAGGTTATTTTGTTTTTTCTTGCAGTTTTTTGAGTCATATTTTTATTGATCTTCAATAGATTGAAGAATGGCGGTCACGAGCAGCCAAGTTTGAGGAGATGTGCGGACTGGTGATGGGAATGTTCACTCGGCTCTCCAATTGTGCCAACAGGACAATCCTTTATGACATGTACTCCTATGTTTGGGATATCAAGAGTATAATGTCTATGGTGAAGTCTTTTGTACAGTGGTTAGGTAGGTGCACCAGGAATAATCTCTTCCTCAGATATATTGTCCCTTAAAAATGAAAAAAAAAAAAAAAAGATTATCCCACAGGGAGAAAAATATTTAAGGAATTGACAGATTTCCATCTCTTTAAATTCTTTGCTTAGATTTCTTTCAAAGGTATAGCCATTGTTGGCAAACTTGAGATGCAAGTCTCCGTAAATACATCAAGCACATTGATTTTTCTCCCTTGGGCTAATTCAGCATAAATATCTTTAAAATGTGTTAGAAAAGTACTGACTTTAACTTGCTCTGACTGAATGCTTCCTGGATGGAACCCTATATAGCACTTTTATCTGATTTGGAGATGAGACACTATGAATTGTGACTGTAAGCTCTCTGCTGCTTGCTGTGTCGTGGTAACATTAATTGCTGTGTTTAACAGAACAATTGCTGAAATGACCTAAGGGGCCTGGCAAGAGGAAGCTATCCTCCCAGCCCTGTGCGCATGCGAGCTTTAGTGGTAGGCTATTCTGGTGCTACTTGGTATTATTTCACATGGCTTTTTCTTTATTCCTCTACCAAGTAATTGGTTTTAGCAGGGGATGAAAATTGCAATCTCCTGAAAATTCTCTCCTTAATTAAATGGACTTCTGTATGTCTCTTTTGAAAACTGATTTTTTTTTTTTTTTGGGAAATTCTCAACAAACTTGGTAAAAAGCACCAGCATGGCCAAGTTTCTCCAGGGACCTCATTTCATTTCCAGGTTTTCAATCCAGCTATAAGGAATATGTAATGGACTTATATACAGCACACAGCAGGCAGCAAGGCTAACTGACATGTCATAGTTTTCATAGTAGTCACAAATACCGTGATGGGTTACTTGGTCTTTGTTGTGAAACAGTTGTGTGAAACATTGTGAGCTTAGATTAAGAGTAGTAGCAATGAGATTTCTCACCTTCTGCCTATATACTTTTGGACTCTTTTTTTTTAAGATTTTATTTATTTGACAGAGAGACACAGTGAGAGAGGGAACACAAGCAGGGGAAGTGGGAGAGGAAGAAGTAGGCTCCCCGCGGAGCAGGGAGCCTGGTGCGGGGCTCGATCCCAGGACCCTGGGATCATGACCTGAGCCGAAGGCAGACGCTTAATGACTGGGCCACCCAGGCGCCCCTGGACTCTTAAATATTAAAAAAAAATAATAGGTTTCCTTTGACACAACTAATTAGCAGTTAAAAGTAGTGTCTCTGTTAGTTTGAAAATAACCTTGAGTTTCTGTGTATTTAGCACAACAGCTAGAGAATTTTTACCTCTTGTTAAAAGGCTCCAAGCACCTCTTTTCTGTGATGTCTGTATTTAGGCTCAGGAAAAACCTCTATATTGGTTATTGGATGACAGCATTTGCCTTCCAGGCTTCTGGCCAGGGAGTTATAATTAAATCTCTTACAGGGATTTAAATCTTAACGTTTCCAGTGTGAAGTCTGGATTCTTGAGCTTGGGAAAGTATCATTTAAAACATTTGATATTGAACTTTTAATTCAAGAATTATTCAAAATTAAATTCTTGATTATATACAGTATTGTTTCTATTTCCTCTCGGGTTTTATTTCTGTACTGTGCAAATATGGGGCAGCTTTCCCAAATTGTGTAGATAGCTACTGTACGAACTAAAGGTCAGAGCATCTTAGAAGCATTTTTTTTTTTTTAAATTTTATTTATTTATTTGAGAGAGAATGAGAGCACGAGAGGGAAGAGGGTCAGAGGGAGAAGCAGACTCCCTGCTGAGCAGGGAACCCGATGTGGGACTCCATCCCAGGACTCCAGGATTATGACCTGAGCTGAAGGCAGTCGCTTAACCAGTTGAGCCACCCAGGCGCCCAGAAGTTTTAAATAATTATCTTGGCATCCGCATAGCTTTACAAAAAGCTCATGACAAGGAGAGTATTTTCATGGATCTATAGTAATTTCAGGGAGTTACTGGTTAGAACCCTTTGTTTTCCTCCTCTCTCCAGTCCAGCTGGCATTCAGTCCTTTAAAGAATGTGGCTATGCAGTACTTTTGATTACTAACGACTTCTATTATCTTCTTCCCCATTGTGTACAGATGGGAGAATCCTCAGCACAAGTGTCTACTGCTATTGGATGGACAGCGGCAGATGTTCACAGCGCGTCATGATTAATTAGTTTAAATTGAAAGGTTCTATCTGTGAGGTAGCTCAGATTTAAGGGCAGTAGGCATGAACTGAAGTCACGTTTGCGCAGCGACTGAGGCATTAACCATGTTTTCATTTACACAGCTCTTCGTACATGCAGCTTTTTATTGTAATAGTTGGAAGTGCTAGTTATGTTGTAGTCTCAAAGTGGGGGGTAGGGGAAATTGGCTGATCTTAAAGTTTGAGAGTACAGTATTTTTCTGCAGTGTAAATTTACACTGACCTATGGAATGGGGCACATTCTCTTAGCCTAAATTTTGACCCTATTTCATATTTATTTTACAAATTTACATATTATGTATGTTTTCTTAAAGCACCCCTACCCCTAAAAAATGACAAACCTGGATATAATCTCTTAATGGGCCTGAATTGTGAACAAAAAATTGGTTTGCTTTGGGACTGTCTGACTAGCACACTATATCTTGTACTGATGAGACTGTTAACTTGAACAGGAGGTAGAATGCTGTCTTCAGATGGAAAAGAACTATATTGCGCTGCTTTATCTTGTCAGAAGACTAGGCAGGTGATTTTGATTTGGCCTCCAAATATTTGCTTTCAATTATTTCTTGTTGTTAGTTTCCTTTATTGCCTCTGAAGTTGGTTAAGTGGTGACCTTAGTGCTGACTTCTGGACCTTACACCCTGCCACTCTGTGCATGTGTTCAGTGCGCTGCAAAGATTATAATGGTCAGTCAGAAGAGCCAGATACTGTCATACTTTTCAGAAAAGTATGTTTTAGCTCTGGATAAATTAGGAGCATCAGTTGGCTCTCCTTACCTTTTAGAATTTGTCTGACTGCTATTATTATTAGCCAAGTCTAAATTGGATTGTCCTTGTTAGAAAAAATAGTTTTAATTGTGTTTTGTTGTCAACTTACTGAACAATTTCTTTTGTTTATTCTGCTGACCTTAGTTTTCTGACAAGATTAATCCCCGCCCCCCCTTTTTCCCTTCCTTACCCTTCCTTGTAATGTAAAATGTGACTTCAGACAGGTTTAATTCCTTCATGGGCTGTGATAATAAAATGTCTTAACCTATCTCCTTCATTTCACTTCATGATTACTGTAATTTCACTACAGAGCAAGCAGCTGGCTTGATTTTTTTTTTTTTTTACAGCTGTATCTAGGGATATATAAACTTGACCCAAACAAACTTGAGACTGACTTCCAATAATTAAAGGGTAGAACTCTTTACAGTGATTATTCATTAATCAGAGGAAGAAACATTGGTATTGAAATTCCATTACAAATTAAAAAAAATTATTATCACAGCCTTGTTCTGAAACCCTGGATTATTATTGTTAGAGAGCTATTTCCACAAAGTGTTTGTTAGTGTGTTGGACGTTTGAGACCCCAGGAAATCCCCTTTCTCGTAACGTTCTCCGCTTGGATCTGATCTCAACAGGGTGTCGTAGTCATTCTTCAGCACAGTTCTTAATTGGAGACCAAGAACCCTGGGCCTTTAGAGGTGGTCTAGCAGGAGAGTTCCAGGTATCAATATGAATTCACAACTGAATTGACATTTTCTTTGTTTTATGAGAAACCTTATGTTGCGCATCAGATGGCTGGAAGGATTGGTCTGCCGAAGGCTTTCTAGTCCCAAATTCAATTTAGTTACATAGCTGGATTTTAAATCAAATTTTCCTCCTCTTTCACAGTAATTTCTGAAGGAGATGCTGCCAATTCCCCCCGCGCCTGCGAAGCGCAGCGGCTCTAGGTATACACTTCACATTGTTTCTTTGCAGGTCGCACACCATTTTAATCTGCGCCCGCAATGCACAATGCGCGCATGCTTGTCTGCCAGTGGAAACTCCATGAGCAAAAAGGATGAATAATTACGCAAGTGAATGGTGAAAGGACTTTTGGATACTTTCCCAATTATTTTATAAATAAAACTTGTACTCTAAAGAACAGCCTGTTAATGAATTTGAACAAAATAAGAAGCTTTTTTGGTGTTGAAATTTGTTCATGGACTTTTCAGGTGCTCTACTTTTCTCCCCCCAACAGGTGCTCTGCTGCGCACAGCAAACTGAAGCGCATTGCTTTGGGAATAAAGCGTCTCCTGGACAGATAACCCTCTTCAGACCAAACCTCTCCTCCTGACATTCTGTTCTGCCATCTTTTAGTACAGAGATGGTCTATATAAGATTGGTTTAAAAAAATAGATTTGTGATACTGGAATAGATTTTTTTTTTTACTATAAATTTAAATCTCCATTAATATGCCACTAAAGCTATGTAACTCAGTTTGGGTAATTTCTATTCAGAAGCACCCCCTTCCCCCAGCAAAGAGGTGTTTATTTTAGTAAAGCATAGTACACCCCTCTTCTTTAGGTCTGCCTGCAGTAGCCAGTTAATGTTAAGTTGGTAATCTGCAGTGCACACCCATTTAAAGAAATGGAGATCTTCCCAACACTAATCCATCTTCTTTTTGTTTCTTCCCACAGCGTTTGCTGCCAATTGATGGGGCAAATGATCTCTTTTTTCAACCACCCCCACTGACTCCTACCTCCAAAGTTTATACTATCAGACCATATTTTCCTAAAGATGAGGTAATTGTCTGCCTACGCACTTGGTATATGGTTATGGTGCTTACTTACTACTTTTCCTTTGAACTCCCTGGTTAAAAGAATCAGTTGTGGTGCTCTCTTTGCAGCAAAATTGGAACGATCCAGAGACGATTAGCATGACCATGACCCTTGTGCAAGGATGACACACAAACTGTGAAGCGTTCCATATTTTTAATTTTATTTATTTATTTGTTTAAAGATTTTATTTATTTATTTGACAGAGAGAGACACAGCGAGAGAGGGAACACAAGCAGGGGGAGTGG